AAAGAGTGCAGAGTAATCAGTCGGATTTATAGTTTGCAGGGCTTAAAAAAAAAAAGAAAGAAAATCAACATAAACCTTTGGGATATCACAGGGGAGGGGAGGTGAGGCAGCTCTAACCTGAAACCTGCCAAAGAAGGTCAGGCGACACAAAGGTGGCCCCCTTAGTTTGGGGAAGATAGAGGAGGATTAAAGCCATATGGCCTGGCCTATCATACCTTATGACTTAAGATAACGAAGCCAAGCATTCTACTTAGCTGGCTTTGACTGACATCATCCATTTTAGTTTATGTTGGTCACCTCCGGTAACAGGAAAAAAATGGCCAGGGCAAGATAACATTTGCCTTATTTTTTGCATTAAGATGCCTTACAGCTAGTATTTTTGAACAAAACGGGGGGGGGGGGGGAGAAGGAGGGCAGCTTTCTTTTTTTAAAAAAATAAAACCTCGAGGTTTGTTCTATCAGCTTTCCTCCAGCAACTGTCGGGCTCTCTCTCTCTCTCTCTCTCTCTCTCTCTCTCTCTCTCTCTCTCTCTCTCTCTCTCTCTCTCTCTCTCTCTCTCTCTCTCTCCCCCCCCCCCTGTTTTTAGTTTCTACCTTGCAAATGAGAGGCAGACTTATTCAGAACCAGATGTAAGGCTCCTACAGAATGAGCATAAGCTCTTGTACTTTAAGCCTAATGGGAAGTTTTATATGCAAGGGCCTTGAACTGATTAGTATAATTCCCTCTTTAATACAGCTGTCCCTCCAGATTAAGGTAAACCAAATGTTGCAATCAGAGATTAGTGTACCTTGCCAGTTATTAACATCCCCGGTTGCTCAGTAAGCACGTCAGACACTAATGCTGTGTATTTATTTGCTACTTCCACCTCGGTAACTTGAACTTCTGCACCTGTCAAAGCATTCCAGAGGAGGGAGGGAGGGAGAGAGAGAGAGAGAGGGAGAAAGAGAGAGAGAAAGAGAGAGGGGGGGGGACAGGCCGCATATTACTGGAGAGCAAAACTTATATACCTGTACACTTGTTTGGTTTCGTCAAAATCTAAATCCCCTTCTTTTTTTCTTTTTTCTTTTTGTTTGTTTTTGCCTTGCCAAAATTACCAGGTGGTTTAATCTGTCACTCTGCTGGGTTTTATGAAGGAAGACTTTGTATGCAAACCTGCATTTGTTACTCTCATATGGCTTATTTCCCTACACTACAGCAAAGCTATTCTCCTTAAGGACATAGTTTCTTGTTTTTTTTTTTAAAATAGAAATGGTGGTGTAGATTTCTCTCTCTCTCTCTCTTTCCCAAAGTTGTGGCTGGCAGTTAAAAGAATATAATTTTCTCCTGCTGGGCACTAGTCAGTTTGTAGTGCCTGTCCTTACAAGGTGGATCATACAGTTGTCTTAATATATTTGGCAGGATAGCTTCTCTGCCACACAGATGTCAAGAAAGAGAAAGCTGCAAGAGCTAAGCAAACTTTTAGGAGTTTCCATGTTCTGAAAAGCTGGTTACATCTTGGGTATCCCCTTCTCCCATACTTCTTTGGCACATTATTTTAAAATGCTGGTGAATTGAGAGAATCATCAAGGTAGAATTTCCATATACAGAAGAAAACATTAATCTGCAGAGTTCTTTTTTCTAAAAAAAAAAGTCGTATTATGATACATATATATGGGATTTGAGAGACTAATGACAAATATTAGAACAATATGTGCATGTTCTTTCAAACCACCGTATTGCTTAGCTTCTATTCTGTCATGTTCTCATCATATGCTAAATAATAATTGCTTAGCTAACACCAACAAATGAATGAATTAATCTTTTTATAACAGCCACTTGCAATTGTCTGAATGGTGAATAAACACATTAAACACATAGTAAAAACAAAGCAAGATGAACTATCAGTGGTGAGTTCATCGGTGGATAAAAATCTACTTAATGCTACAGGCAGCATAACAAAATTTAGCTATGTTCAAAGGGACTGAATCAATATCGATCTGATAAGAACAGCTATACATCAAAAAGATCATACTTTCCCAGGTGCTTTACCATGCTAAATGTTTTCTTGATAAATGCTATAAAGACTCCATGTTGCGGTACTTAAGAAATGTACTCTTGCAATATGATGACTTGTATGTTTATGCTGAATCAAGTGCTATTGAGTTCAGCGCAACAGCTCTTGGAGAGGAAAAATTAACATAAAATGTAGTCTAATGGTTTGATCTGATGTATTTTGAAATGTGTTTTCTGAAAGGTAAACTTTTTTGGTATCATGATAAGTGGTTGGTTCCTTTTTGAGTTATAATATTTTGCTGTATTTCCAACAGTAAATGCTTGCAAGTCATATTTGGGAGATGTTCAGATGGAGGTATAAATTATTCATATGATAAATTATACTTTAGGGACAATCTCTGTTTGGAAATATCAGGTAGTTTTAAAGAAAAGGGTGAGCTAATAAGACTATTAATATTTTAAATCACCTAATGGCCAGTCATATTTTGAAACCAGTTTGGTTATTGTGAGAGAATATACATTGTCTCAAGGTATGAAATGAAAGGAAGGAGTATTTGATATGTTTGTCACCTTGAATTACTTATAAAGTAATAAGGGAGAGTTAATAAATAAATAAATAAATAAATAAATAAATATCCAATGAAAATAACTTTTGCTTTCTCAATGTAGTTGAGATATATTAGCTGCATATAAAATTTTGGAATTAACATAAACATTGATACTATGTTTCAGATGACCCTAGATCTGTAGTATTTTTTATAAAAACAAAGTATGGATATTGATCATTTGCAAAAACTTTGGAATGAAGTGTTGGAATAATCCTTATTAACAAATTAAGAAACACGTTTATTAGGTTTTCAAGATGTATCTGGAAAAATGGATTATTTCCATGTTTATTAAATATGTCAGGGAATATTTTAAAAAGGTATGCCTCCCATCAATTTAATGCTTAATGGAAGGGATATAAGCAGTGGTGGGATTCAACCAGTTCGCACCACTTCGGCAGAACCGGTAGCTAATTTTTTGTTGCCCAAGCCTAGAATGGACTTCTGGAAGCGACATCCACACAGAGAACTGGTTGTTCACATATTTGAATCCCACCACTGGATATAAGGTAAGATAATCTTTATTGTCATTACCTGTATGTACAACACACATTAAAATGAAATTCCGGTGTTCTGTTCTGGAAAGAAGGAACGCCACCTCTGAATATGGCTCCCACCCTCTGGAAAATCATTCCCCTTGAGGTAAAGTCTGCCCCCCACCTTTTTAGTCTTCCATAAGAGCTTCAAAACCTGGCTATGTCAATTGGCTTGGAGCCCCAATGCAGGTGTCACTCTCTGGAGATGGTTAGTGGACTAGGAAGAAGATCCTACCTCCACCTTGTTGTATTCTGATTGTTTATTTAATCTTAGTTCATTTTAATATTTAATGTTTTTATGTTTGCTTTTATTATGCTGTAAACTGTCCAACATCATTTGACAATGAAGTGGGCTGCATACACACATAACATTGTTAATACAGTTTCAAGAAGTGTAATACAATTTAAAGATGTGTATGAGCTCTTCAATTATAGATCTCAGATGTGGAATTTATCAGTATTTACTACGCATGGACATAGCAAAAAAATATGTACTCTTTTACAATGGAAACAGAGTGCCACCCCAGATTTATAAATATTGGATTGATGACATGCGTTCACTCTCTGCTTATGAACTAACTCTTTATTGACATAATGGGATGACTGATCAATGTTACTCTGTGAGGTCAAGGTTTTAATGGTTTGTTTAAAAACAGATCTCACATGCACGCACACACACACACGTTTGTGTATGTATGTATGTGTGTTCGTGTGTTTTGATTTTTTTCCTCTTTTATGTACACTAAAGCAATAGCAATTAACGAAATCCTTGAAACTATATTGAATGGGGCTTATAATAAGTGCATATATGCTTGAAGCTGCTTAAGGACTAAAACTGACATAAAGTCGAAACTATGCCTTCTTTTTTGAGCTTTGTAAAATTTATTTATATCTATATCTATATATATCTCCTGTATTTATACATTTTGTGGAACAAGTTCCTATCTCAGGAATTACGTCCTGCAGCCTAGTGAAGATGCTAATGAAGCCCTAAGCAGGGATAAATTTTTGTGCCGTACCATCCAACAGTTGAATGGCTTTACAATCCATCTTAATTGTCATCCTTATTTCAGGTTGGTGATAAGGCTGGATCTTCAGTTTACAAGTGACAGCCTTGACAAGAAAGCAAGAGGAAGGGTGTAGGCCTAGGACTTGTGGTTCTGCAGGGTGATGTGCTCTGACCTGCCTTGTGTTGATACGGACAGTCTATAACAGGATTTGAATTGTCATGGGGTCCCCAGGCAGCCGAAGAGAACAGAGTGCCTGTCCTGCATTTTCCTGTTAGGATCCTGACACGTGAAGCATTGATGAACTCAGCAGAAGAGTGAATAGCAGCTTTTTGGCAGCTGAAGGGCTAAAGCTGCAGGTCAGAGATAACACGATGGCAGATCTCCTTGAGCACACAGCTACAAGCATTGCCGTCTTCCCTCCTGAGTGCAGGAAACAGCTCATGTTTAATGTGCTGCCTCAATCGTTTATCCTCCTCCTTTCTTCTCAAATGGAACTTACAGATTGGACTGTTTGCCTTTCCTCTCCACTCTCTCCCCCCTCCAATTTTCTTTACCATGTCCCCCCCCCCCCCGCCGCAAGACTTTCCAGATAGCACAAATTAATTTTGATAAGGAAAGGCTAAGGTGATACTTGGGTTATTTTAATGTACTCATTGCATTCTTTCTTTCATGGAAAGAAGGAGGTAACTGGTTGGTCAATTTGGAGTCCCACAAGCTTCTCTCTCTCTCTCTTTCTCTCTGTGTGTGTGTGTGTGTGTCTGTGTCTGTGTGTGTTTTCATGTGTGAGTGTGTGTGCGCGTGTGTTTAAAGATTTCCCTTTGCTTTTTCCTTTCACATCCTTTCAAGTGGAGGCCTGTTTCAGGAAGGTGATAGTAGAAGATGTAAAAACACATTCAGTTGCAGCTGGGAGAGGAAGGAAATGCTGGGAAGGTAACTGATAACAGGCTTTCGTACCCTTCTCTCCAGCAACATCAGGTAAATTAAGTTGCTTGTTTTTCTTTCTTCTTCTTTTTTAAACTCCAAAGGATTCTGACTGGTGTAGAGCTGCGCCTCAGAAGCTGTTTCATTTTAAGCCAGCAAGTTGTTGGGTTTTTTTTTTTTTTTTTGCACAATTTCCAAATGCAAAATAACTGTTGTGAGCGACTGAGCATTGTCTTTTATTCAGTGATGTCAAGCCAGCATCCTGTCTTAATGAAGACAATGAAAAAGCTTCTATCATGTTTTGGCATTGGGGTTCTAATTGCATTCCACTTTCAAGTATTTATGGATAAATGACTCAGAGAAGTCGGGAGGAATCTTCAGAGGTGGAGGAAGGAAGCTAACTCTTTCACACTTAAATCAGAAAATGCAAGCTCTGGCAAAGGACTTGGGGGGGGGGGAAGCAGCTCTCAGGCATTTCAGACTGGTCGTGCTTCATATCAAGGTGGTCATTTAGAACAGAGGTCACCAATCTTTTCATGCTGGCGGCCGGAGGAAAAGGGAGCAGCTGTAAAATTTGCACATGCGAGCATGCAAACAGGGCCACGCACACCCTCACAGTGCTAGCAGCCCAGTTTCCACAGGTGCTAGGTGCCTTCTCTGCTAGTGTCGCGTGCAGGCGTGAATGGGCTATGCAACCCAGACAGTGCTATTGGCCCCGTTTTCTCAGGCACTAGGTACCTCTGCTAGCGCCATGCGCAGGTGCAAATGGGCCGCACAACCCGCATGGTGCTAGCAGCCCCGTTTCCGCAGGCACTAGGCACCCCCTCTGCTAGCGCTGGTCTAGCGTGAGTGGAGGTGAGTGTCCTGCGGCCCGGAGGCCAGTAGGCCATGGCCTGGCAGTTGGCCGTGGACCATAGGTTGTGGATCCCTCATTTAGAACATAGAATTTGTTGAAAGTGACCTTGGAGGTCTTCTAGTCCTCATGGCAGGAGACCCTATATCATTCTGAACAAATGGATGTCTACTCTCTTCTTGAAAACCTCCACTGATGGAGTCCCCACAACTTCTGAAGGCAAACCATTCTGTTGATTAATTGTTCACACTGCTAGGAACTTCTCCTTAGTTTAGGTTACTTCTCTCCTTGATTAGTTCCCACCCATTACTTCTTACTCTGCCCTCAAGTGCATTGGAGAATAGGTTGATCTCCTCTTCTCTGTGACAGACCCTCAAGTACTGGAAGACTAACAGAAGATCCCTAGTCCTTTTCTTTATTAGACCAGACCTACCTAGTTTCGTCCATTCCTCATCATATGATGTAGCCTCCAGACCCCTCATCAACTTTGTTGCTCCTCTCTGCACTGTTTCTAGAGTCTCAGCACCTTTAATTTCATAATAATTTTATTTCATAAGCCACAGGCTACTTGTGATCCCCATTTCCAAAGGCAGCCTCTAAAGTCCCACATTTATGCTACGGTTAGACTAGTCCTTAAGTTATATTAGTTCTTAACTCAAGTACAGAAGTATTTGGCAATTGATTATTGAACGAAATGCTGCAGAGAAGGGAGTTGCAAAGGGAAAGAGAAAGAGGAAAAAGGCAACGGCAGCCAGAGAGGGCAACAGAATGAATGACTTCATTTTTTTTTTTTCTCAAGCCCCTGAACGATCCACACGCTACCTGACATGTAGCCCCAAACCAATTTTACTTGATAGGAAACTAGTTCCCATTCCTGCTTTTCCCTAAGCTTTCAGATATGCAACGTTCTTATTTTTGGCATTTCTAAATTTATATTTTCACTGGGTAATATCTATAGGAGAGCCAGTTTGACATAGTGGTTAAGGCATCAAGTTAGAAACTGGGAGACAGAGAGCTCTAAACCACAAAGCCAAACCATGGGCAAGTCATTCTCTATCAGCCCTAGGAAGCAGGCAAGGGCAAGCCACTTTTGAAATGGCTTGCCAAGAAAACTGCAGGAACTAATCCAGATAGTCACCAGGAGTCAAGACTGTCTCAATCAGAACCAACCAACCAACAAACAAAAAGCACCCACCCACCCACTTATATACCCCTAATAATATAATGTACTTCATGTGATTTTTGATTCTATCCCTCCGTTAATGCAACCTAGGATTGCAATAGCTTTTTTGGCTGCTGCTGCACTGCTAGCTCATATTTAAGCAATTGTCCACTAGTACTCCAAGATCTCTCTCACAGTTACTGATAAAAAAAAACTTAATTGTTTTTTGTATGGAAATAATTTGAATTTTTCTCCCCGTTTTTACACGGTAATCCTTTCTAGAGAGGGATTTCACCAATTCCCTGCATAATCTTACACAGCTAGAGCGGACTTCATACAGGGTTCTTCTGCCCTGCTTCTTTTGTATATCTTCCACATTCTCTTTAAATCTGCTCCATAGGATTTCCTGATTTTTGAGCAGAGCTGGTTTTGTGATCTGTGGGAAATAGAGGGTGACCACGATCCAGTTCACCAACAGTGCTCATTCTTCAGACAACTCGGCAGCACCATCGTAGTAACGATAGAGTAGAAGTGTTATGTGCAGAAATGCAATTCAGTTTTCAGTTCAAAGGATTTCAGATAACAAGCCTAGAAAAGATTGGTATATGACATTAGGACTTTCCCAGGGTTATCTCAGAGTTGATGGAACTTATTTCTTTGACAGGTTTATCATCTTTCTTTATAACTTCTAGGTGGACTCTGAAGACCATCCATCCTGCTTTGAAAACTTTTGAATCATGCTGAAAAAAAATTCCCTAATTTAAATCAATGCAGGTTTTTTTTTGTTGCTTTATAAATTGTGTACTTACAGTTTTATCTCTTGCTTTTGCTTTTGCTTAGCAGACTCTTAGGATATCTAAATAGAAAAATACCCAAACTTTCGCAAGTTCCCAACCCAGAATATACAATGTCTGACAATTTAAAGCAGTGTTGCACATATTGATTTATTTAGTATATGGTGATGGTACATTAGCCAGGAGACTACAGTATTAATACAGAATTGTTTGATTGCTTAAGACTGCTAGTCTGTTTAGTTCAGGAGTCCTGGTGCACAGTGGTTAAAATGCAGTATTGCAAGCAAACTCTGCCTATAGCCTGGAGTCCGATCCTGACGGGGCTCAGTTGATTCAGTTTTCCATCCTTCTGAGGTTGGTAAAATGAGGACCCATATTGTTGGGGGCAATATGCAAGTGATGCTTACATTGTAAACCCCCCAGAGAGTGCTGTAAAGCACTATGAAGCAATATACAAGTCTAAATGTTATTGATATTTATGCTCGTACACTATCCAGAAGTGTACCACATAGGACAAACTAGCTCCGCACTCAGAATGGCTAACAGCATTGTGCAACATCATCTAGGGCTTTTTCCGTCCACCAATGTCATCTCACATTTGGGCGTACAATTGGGCATGTCCAGCACCAGTGGGTTCTTCTGCACGAAGCACCATTATTTTTCCCACCAAAGTGGTACCTATTTATCTACTTGCATGTAGTATGTTTTGAGCTGCTAAGTTGGCAGAAGCTGAGGCAAGTAATAAGCTCACCCTGTCATGTGGTGGTAGGACTCAAACTACTGGAACACATACCTTCATCAGTGTCTTTAAGCTATTTAGCCATCAGGCCTCTATTGTACCTGTAATTTTACCTGTTGGTGTCCTGGGACTGGATCCTAACATATTATGTAACTATTTTAAGCTTTGCTATAAGATCAAGATCTCGGTCGCTTCATGGCAACTCCAGAGGTCAAAAGTGTGGAATTAAAAAAATAGAGTTTGTCCTGTTGGCAATCAACTTCCATGACAGAAGTCTACAAATTTTATATAATCCTGTTTCTCCTAAAAGCATTTGAGAAGTGCTTTAAAGTTTGCCAAAGAACGGTCACCCATATTTTTTTTCCTTAGGAGAAAAAAAATGTTTTTAATTTCGGTGGTTTAAAAGAAGCATGAGTAAGAGTAACGGTGGGGAGATTTTTAACTATAATTTTTTAAATTTCCTCTGTTTGCTCTAATTAGTTTGCTATTTCATGAGTGACAGGGAGGAACATATGACACTTTTTGTGAGTAGTTTGCTTGTAACAGAGGAAGTGGGGAAGTAGTATATGTTACTTTTAGATTATTTTGTGTGAAGTATCCAGTTTCCAACTGGAACTGAAGGAATTCATTTTTTTCCCTTCCTGCTGGACAGTTTGGGGTCTCTGTGCCTGAGTATTTTTAAACTGGGAATCTCTTCTGAAAACAGCAACAGGGTTATATGAATTCCAGCAACAGTAGAAAATGGTTGAACTCCTTCAATATAAATTACTGAAGAAATCAGATTGTACCAAGATGGTCTCTTTGTTTTCCTTTAATTTATGGGGGTTGGGATAAAGGAAAGAAGGGACCATATTAATCCCTTTTATTATAGCATGTGATAAGACATAAGCAATTTTGTTTTGTTCAAAATTCTATACAGATAGTCCTCAACTTACAACTGTCTATTTAGTGACCATTCAAAATTACAACGGCACTGAAAAAAGTGACTTATGACTGGTACTCACACTTATGCCTGTCACAGCATCCCCACGGTCACATGATCAAAAATTGGACATTTTGTAACCACCATATATTTAGGGCAGTTGTAGTGCTCAGGCTTATGTAACTGCCATTTGTGACTTTTCCAGATGGCTTCTGATAAGCAAAGTCAATAGGGAATGCTGGATTCACTTAACAACCCTGACCAGAAAGATTGTAAAATTGGGCATAACTCACTTAACAACCACTTTGCTTACTAATGGAAATTTTGGTCCAGTTGCGATCAAGTCAAGGGTTGCCTGTTTCCCACTGCAGTGAAAAAAAGTAATCTTTTTTCAAGCAAAAGTAATATGTTTTTGCTTCCCTAATGCCCACACTTGAAATGTTAAGGAACTAGTAATCATCATGTAGTAGTTGTGTGTGTGTGTGTGTATGTGTGTATATGTATATATATAGATATTATATACATAGTATACATTCTTCAGTATATATAGTATATAGTATGTGTATGTATATACTGAAGAATGT